TTCATGCTACATGTATGTAAGGGGTCGTAAACCAAACACTTATCCGGGTTAGCGTTTACCAAGTCACATTACCTCACCGGATGAATATGATAAGAACTAAGAATCTTTCCCGATAAGAGCGAGAGAATGACCATGAGTCTTACCCAGTAAGTGAGGGGGGCGACTTTTACTACGGTAAACGCTTACCGGGTGAATTGTTGCATACAATGTCGTTTTGATGAACTAAAATCTTACCGGTAAGTAATTAATAGTGTTAAATTTTACCGATAAACACTTACAGGATAAATGTTTGGTAAACGTCCCCTAAGTGTTAATATGCATGTTTGTTATGAAACTCAAAGCATGAACAATCTGATGAAATGTTTTTGGATCATATGTCGGGAAGCCATGAGATGATAACGGTGGACCAATTAATTGTGCCTCGAATGTAAAGTGTACCTATGTACTTGGTTGAGTTATATTCATGGTAGATGAGCTTTGTTTATAATATTTTATAGGTACCGGACGAGATATAAAAAGACATTTTATAAATATGAAAAAAAAATAGTGATTATGTCGTTTTTTTATTAACTTGGATTAGAGATGGCCAAAAACCGGTCCCGGGCCGGTCCCAATCGGTCCTAGCCTTTCTCATAACCGGCCATAACCGGTCCCGGCGTAACCGGTCCCAGTCCCGGTCGAAAATGATAGGACCGGTCAAGGTACTTCATAACCGGTTATGGGCCGTCGGTCCCGGTCCCAACCGGACCTTGCATTAAAAAATAAGATTGTTTTTTGATTTTTTTAATGATATATATTTTTAATACATTATAAAATTTACAATTDRKTCMCTCAAATACACTTTAAAAATGCGTTTTAATATAATTAAAATTACGTTTTCTTATAAAAATACATTATAAAATTATTTAAAAATACATTTATTTATAAAATTATTTGAATTTTCGGGCCGGGCCGGGCTGGTCCATAGTCGGTCCCATAACCGGTCCCGGTCCCACGAAACTACCAAAAACCTCAACCAGTCCCAGTTTTCGGTCCCATAACCGGTCTTTACCGGTCCCGGGTCGGTCCTTTGTCGGTCCTGGTCCCGGTCCTCCGGCGGTCCCGGGCCGGGCCGGGCTGATTTGGCCATCTCTAACTTCGATATCCAACCCACTATGCGAGCTTACTAATCCCAGATCGACCACTTCTTTTGCAGATAACCCAGAGTCACCGTATTTGAACCTCCGTGGCCACAAGGGGATTTTTATTCTTCCTTCGATTTGAACCTGAGACCTCCTGGTACTTTTAGCCTTTGGAGTCAAGCTCAAACCAATCAGGCACCACCCTTGTGGTTGAATATGTCGTTTTTATCATAAAAAATATTTTAGTTTAAAAAAATATATTAATATTTCATATAAAACTGTTTTTTCGAGTATTCCTAGATGCAAAATTAATCAATAATCATTTTTAAATTATTATTATTTACCATATCATTTAAATAGATCCATTCCACGGTAAAAGTATCTTATAATATACCTTTAATATATAGATTACCATTATTTGAGGTTACAATGTTAACTATTCTAAGTACATTAATATAAATTAAGTTTTTCATCTCATTTTAAACCTTTATGGTTAAAACAGACTTTTTCGAAACCATCAATTTTAGAATCAAAAGGTTATACTAATTATAGTTTGAAATCTTATTCTTGTTTTGGAGATATGAAATTCATCCAATAAATATCAGATAATAAGGAGTCAATAATGTATGAAAAAACAAGGCTAATTTTGAAATCCTAAATATAGATATAAGTTGGAATGTCACACATAGTTGGTAATTTTTTTTCAAAAGTTACGAGTTCTCTTAGTTAATAACAAAAAATATACTATATTTAACTAGAAGCGTACTCGCGCAATGCAGCGAGATACATCGTGTTTTTAATATTTCATTTTATCCTTTATCTCAGTCGATGTTATAATATGGCTTTATGTGATTTTGAGAAAGCGA